TTGAACAGTAAGCCAGAAGGTGTAAAATGAGGTTGTCTTGCGCAAAACCACCTATAGTATAAAAAACAACAAAAACAAACAGCTTGTTCACATTGCAGAGAAAGAGAATGTAAGTAGCGGCAAGATTTATTTAATATTAAAGAGAATCTGTGTTATCTATGTGATTTAATTTTTGCTTTACTAACAAATTAACACATTTTGTTACTGTTTCAAGAATGCAGCAGAAAACATGGTGTCTTGGTCAGGGGCGGGGGGGGGCCTAGCATAGCAAGGAAAATGAGCATAATGTGACTTTCTCATGTCCCACAGGCACCCAGGCATGTACAAGGTAGAGCTGTCCTTGTGTGTCTTTGCCTCACACCTGAATGATGCACTGAGGGCCACGGGTCACTCCCAAAGCAAAAGGGATATATGATCATCGGGATTTGTCCTGGTTGGCACTCACTGACAACGTGACACAACATAGAGTCACCTGAGAAGAAAGAGTCTCAACAGAGGATTGCCCAGATCAAGGTCATCTGTGGCTATGTCTGTGGGGAGTTGTCTTCTTGGTTGTAGATTGATGTGGGAGGGCCCAGCCTGCTGTGGGTGGTGCCATTCCTTGGCAGACTATCCTGGATTGTATCAGAGAGCTGGCTGAGCATGAGCCAGAGGGAGCAAGCCAGTGAGTGTATTCTTCCGTGGTCTCTGCTTTGGTGCCTGCATCCGGGTCCTGCTTGAGCTCTTGATGTGGCTTTCCCAATGATGGACTGTAGCTTTAAAGCTGAAATGAAGCCTTTTCTCCGAAGTTGTTCTTGATCAGAGTGTTTCATACTCTTGTTGCTTTTGCTCATGGTGTTTAGCCTAGTACTGAAAACCCAAACTAATAGAACACATGTAGGCCGCCCTCCCAACCCCCCCCCCCCACATGCACACATATGCACTTGCATGTAAGTTAGAGGGAATTTACTAGATTGACTCACATGACCAATGCTCAAATGTTACAGCATGGCTATCCATAGCCTTCAGAGGTGGGAAAGACAATAACTTCTCAGTCCAAGCAGCCTTAGAATGAGAAAGAGGCAAATGATGCAATCTCAGATGCAGGACAACATCCTTGTGCAAATTCACACTCAAAGCTAGAGGGACCTGGTGTCTGATGACCATGGACAATAGCAGCTGTAAAATAAACTCACATAGGAAGGGTTCAACCTGTTCATGCTTCTCCAATCTTCCTTCTACTCTTATTCCATCTGGGCTCTATCTTCTTGGATGGTGTCCCCAGAATTCAAGGTGAGTCTTTGCCACTCAGTGTGTTGACCCACATGACAGTCTTTTCTGTAAATAGATATGCTTAGGAATATAGTTTATCTCTTTTCTTGGTATCCCTCAATCCAGCCACTCAGAAACCAAAATCAACATTCATAGGAGGCCTAAGCTTTGCTGTGGTTGTAGATGAAGGTGGAAAAGTGGGAGAAGCATACATTTGCCTCACTTCTTGAGGTTACTAGTTGCATGCAGGTACTTAAGGAATGGCCTAAGTAAAAGGAAAGCCTGAATCCTGCATTATTAGCATTATTAGTTTATCCAGGTGGATATATGGAAAGCATGAAGGCCTGTTGGTACTCCCAACAATCCAATGTTAAGAAACATATTGTCTTGATGATTTCAGGGTTACAATTATTGTATTAGAGCAGAGGGTAAAGAAACAGTGTTGCAGGGATCCCATAGAATTGGAAGGGCTTCTATATGGTCATGCTTATGGGAAATGGAGCCAGGTATCAACAACGGGAATGCCATACAGTGTTCCCAAACCAAACATGAGATCAAATCTTCACCTTCTACTTCATTGTGGGCTGGGGTTTAACACCAGTCAAGTGACATTCTCATTGTTGGCTTAACTAGGAACACACTGTGAACACCATTTGCCTTGCACATTTTGCAGTCATCCTGCCTCAGTACCTTAGAGCATCATGGGATGGGCAGTGTGGGAGCCTCTGTGGTGCTTGGTGAAATTTTGGACACAGGGCCTAATTCTCAAGATAACCAATCCCAAGTCTTCCTTAGGAAAGTGGACTTGCTTTCACAGTTTTGCTCCCAATGGTCTTTTAAGCGCTCTGGTAGTCTATATTTCAGCTTATCAGTGAAGTAACAGTAGTCCAGGGCTGGCAAACTGCAGGCAAATGTGTGGCATGCTTCCTGTTTGTGTAAATATATATTCAATGGCACACTGATACATAGCCACACGCATTTGCTTGTTGGTTTTGTTTTGGTCTCTGACTCGAATCATTCTACAATAGCAGATTGAAGCAGCTATAGAAAAGCCCACGTGACCCTTGAAGCATGAAGAGTATTGTTCGAGTAGGGTGGTGCGCACCTTTGACCTCAGCCTTGGAGAGGCAGGGGCAGAGTGAACTCTCACCTTGATTAATTACCCTTTGCAGATCCATTCATCTTCCTGAAAATTTCATTAGTTCATTTTTCTATCAGAAATTTAATTCCCAGGAGGCAGAGGCTAGCTGATCTCTGTGAGTTCAAGGCTAGGCTGGTCTACACAGTGAGTTCCAAGACAGCCAGACCATGTCTTAAAATAATGTAAAACAAAACAAAAACTAAATAACCACCTCCCCCTCCAGAAAACAAACAAACAAAATGTGTAAATGCACTATATGTACAATGGTATAAGTATGGGTCTGAAAATATAGAAAAGAGACAAACAGAAGGTAATATTAGATTATGAGGGAGAGTGGAGATGGGTAGGACACATGGGCATCAAAGATGAAAAAAAACAGGAGTTGGGAGAGTTTACAAGAGGAGGTATGCAGAAGCAGGAGGGACAGGGGAGAGGAAATTGGAAGGGGAGCCACAAAAAAAATACTTTGTTTGAAAATGCCATTATGATATACCTAATATATTATATGTTGATTTAAAATAATAAAAGTACAATAGAAGAGAAAGTCTTTCATGTACATTTGATGGCCAAGTAGTAAGTATCATCATGCTGATGAGATGCTAATGATGGAACTCCTATTCCCAGTCATGTGTACCTTTGCAGTATGTTTTCTTGTATGTGTGGAGGAAGTTTTCTAACTCCAGAGGACTCACATGGGGGCATTTAATGGTGGTGGGGGCTGAGAGAGATTTTATTTGAGTGGAGACATCCCCTCTCCAGTCTCCATGCTCTCCAACATTTCAGATGTTTGCCATCACATACAAACTTCCACGATGGCGTCTCTTTCAGCCCCTATCAGGGCTGTGAATCTGCTTTTACTGTGTGTCTGCGATGGGAGGAAGCATCGTCTGCTCTTGCTTTGTGCCTCTGCGAATACCACACAGAGCTGGATGGGAAGCTGGGTTTCCTATTGTCACCCTGACAAAGGTCTGACAGTCCATTTGGTGTCGGGAGAATCATCAGCATTCCTCTCATTTTACGGCCCCTTTAGAGGTTGGTTGTCATTTTTCCAAGTCTCACTTTGTCTACGTTTCTCCTTTGTGTGAGAGTCTCAGAACCCAGTGACCATGTGACATGCAAATCCATTGTGCCGTGGTTCCTATATTGTTCCTATGTCAGCATGCCTTCTGCTGGGCATTGTCCTGAGTGTACCATCAAGCAAGCCAAACAGAATAGCACCTGTCTGGTGGCAAGTGGGGGTAGTTCTTTCCTTCGTAACTTACCTTATTACTTTCTATTCTCTCCAGGTGCCACCGCTCTCTCTTTTATATTGATTTCTCCAAGCAAGTCTACTAGTTAAGCTCTGCACTATCCCAGATCGGTATACTCGGTGGCAAATGCCTCTTCCTTGCTGAGCCATCTCCCTGCCCCTGCTTCAGCTTTGGAAGGGTTAAAGCATGCCAAGTACCCAGGAATCCTTGGTTGATAGTAATCACGGCTGAGCGGCTGTTTAGTTACGGCTGATATTCTTTAGCACTGTGACCCCAGGACAGTAGTAAATCCAATGGATGACCAAGTCATTTGTACTCCGTTAGGGAAGTTGCTGGCATCGGAGCCTGGGAACTGTGACTTCAACAAGGGTATCCTGGTGTTTCCCCTCTGATACTTGCACTCCAAGAATTCTTCTGCTGTGGAAAGCACTAAGAAGTTAATACTAAGGATAACTCTTAATCATAGAAGAGTGGCAGACAGCTGAGGATTAGTGGATATGGGTGATTCAATAGAGTTCAGAAGATAAAGGACAGCAATACATGCTTTACCATTTGTTCACTGAGGGTCAGCTTGTCATGCATTTGTGCCAACTGCAGCTTCCTGTTCAGTGTTCTCCTAGGCTCAGTATGTGAATGGTTTGATTCCCAGAGTGGTACTACTGGGGATCCATGAGAGGATCTTTGGGTCATCGGGGTGTGTTCTCAGAAGGGATCATATGATGTGCCAGTCTTTCTGAGTTTGAGGTGTGACTCTTCACTTTAACATACCCTCCTGCCATGGTTTGATGTCCTTATCCTCACTACAGACAAAACCAGTCCGTCCCTCTGATCCTGGACTTCAGTCTTAGCTAAACAACCCTTTTCTTTTTGTACAGTTACTTGTCTTGGATATTTTGTTGTCATGTGGTAAAGATAATGCAGAGTATTTTCTTCTCTCCATTTGCTCTTTTTGCTCTTGAAGTCCAGAGATGTTATGCTGACACACAGTATCATTAAGTCACTCAAAAATTAGTCTCTTTCTTTCAATAAAATCTTTTTTTCTAAATAATTCCTCTCAGATTTGGTAATGAATTTCTGTTTTAGTACTTTGTATCTGTGTGGCTACTCCATAAATTGCAGGCCTCCAGGTTCTTTATAAAAAGGGGATGGGAGTGAGGATGGACATGGGTGATGCTGTGTTCGTATTTTGTTGGGCAAAGCTGGAAGGTTGTGGAAAATTAATTGTGAAAAGATTTTTTTGAACGTGGAAAATACTCTGAACATGCCTTCCTGGAGAGGATGGGGATCTGGAATCTGACAGTGGCCTTCCTTCAAAATGCTTTATCTGAGAACATTCTGCCTTAGGCGAGGTAGCTTCCAGAACATTCTGAGGAACTGGCACAAGATGTTTCTACTGGGCAGAGGGTGTGATAAGAGGAGTCAGAGACTGTCCTGTATTCAGCCTTCAAGAAGCTTCAGCAAGTTTGTCTCATTTTGTAGGGAAAAGCTAAGCGTGAGAACTTGTAGGCTCCTCTGGGAGCAGAGGAGAGAGGCGGGGAAGAGTCTACCATCACAGAGCTGTCTACCATCACCCACCAGAGCTGCTCCACAGCCCCAGCCCCACAGTTCCCAGGAAGACACCCCGACTGAGCAGGAAGGACTTTGGGAGAGAGTTTCTTCTGAGTCCAGTTAAGTTTGAAATGGAGACTGGAGGCCCGTGAGCCTCCTCTTGGCCTTCGCAGTGACTGATTCTAGGTGGGTTTTGTTGCTGGAGAGGAATAGTCTGGGTAATTGTGAGGGAGCCACTGTTTTGACTGTTCTGTAAAGATGGCTCTTAGGCTAAGGACCCATAAGGAAGGGTGATTTCTAGGTAAGTGCTCGGGTCTTGGTCTCTTGGCTTTTCCCTATGGTGTCTGTGGTGGGCCTTGGTGGGAAGAAGTGTTTTCTGCCTCACTAGGGTTTGGTGAATGTTTCCTACCAGGTTCTGCTGTTTCTCCCTTTGTCAGGAGAGATCATGTCCATGGAGTGTGGCTTCTTTGGCTGGAGTAAAAGATCAATGGGTAAATGCCAGATTCATGGCTTCCTTTAGAGTGCCTATTCTTAGGACAAGACAGATCCTCACGTTGTATGATTCTCATGGTGAAGTCTGTTCAGCCAGATTCTTGTTGTGCATAGTCTTTGATGGAATGCATGAACTGGAATAGCCATTTGAAGTTGTCATAGTTTCACTTGATGATGTTCGTAGAGACATATAAGATCTATGAATATAATTTAGCATTATGAACGTGTGTGTGTGTGTGTGTGTGTGTGTGTGTGTGTGTGTGTGTGTGTTTAATATAGAAACATTCAACTCTTCCCTGGGTTCTGTTTTATGAGTTTTTAATATTATTACTGCTATTCTGAAGATAAGATCATTATTTAAAAATGTTAACTTTTCTGTTTTCATGATTCGGTGACACACTGAACACTTTCAGATGTGGGAAGATGACCTTAAAATAGACATTTATGATACCATGGTCTTGTCTGCCGTGATATTTACTGGTGTTATTTTTTTAGGGAGTACAGTATTTAATGAAGACTGTGCTCACCCTTCTGTGGACAGGGATTTTCACTTATTATTTTATTAGAAAGTGAATATTGTTAGAAGTTGAATCTGGACTGCCCTCACCAAGCTCATGTTTTGTTCCCAGTTAGTGGCTATATTTTGGGATGTTTTGAAAACTGGAGATAGGGTCTAGTTGGAGGAAGAAAATAACTGGAGATAGGTCCAGGATAGTTTTACCTAGCCTGTGAATTCTACCCATCTCTTTTTGTGTTCTCTCACCTGCTGTGATATGAACAGCCTGTCACATGCTCCTGATAGCATGATCCCAGCAGCTCCAACACCCTTCCCAGTGACAGGCCACACCCTCTGAGACTGTGTTCCTGGGTGAGCCTCCCTTCCATTATTTCTGTATGGAAGAATCCCAAGTTTCTCTGTATTTGTTAACTTAGTGCAGAATTAAAAGTTTGGAAGTTGCATTCTGTCATCCCAGCCACGTTAGTTGGATTTACCATAGCAGTTAATGGTATCTTTGTCCTAAAGAAATGCAGCCCACTTGCCCGTGACCCTGGCGAGGTAACCTTGTCCAGGGCTGTGTGGCCTTTTTCAGACTTTGTATATATATGCATAACCTCCTCTTGATTTAATTCAGGTGAGTAACCTTACTGGGCACAGTGCTGCTTCGGTAATTATGACCACATTGTGACCAAAGGCAGAATACGGTGTTTCTGGAAGAATAGTGATAATTTGAAGATTCTCTTCCTCAAACAATAAGAGCATTTCACATCCTTTTTTAAAAGATGACTTTTTAATTTTTTTCTGAGAAGAAGAATGGAGCAGAGGAGCCAGTTTATGCTAGCAGAGAGTAGCCTGGATTTTATTATTTCTTTGACTTTATGTACTGTTCTTGCTCTGTGGGCTGTTTTAAATTTCTTTATCTAGAATCAGACAAGTCAAAGCACACTGTGGTCACTGCCTTATCATTGTAAGAGAAATCTGTGCAGTAAAAAAAAAACATGATTAAAATGTCTATTTTCAAATGGACAGTTGAGAATAGAAATTTCCTGCCCTTTCTTCTTCTGAGAAGGAAGTAGACAGAGTAATTTTAAATCACTGAATATTAGTATAAGTAATTATCATGTGTACTTATGATTAACTTGTATGATGTTCCTTTCAGTATTTTTAAGTCACAGTGACAAAAGAAAATAGCAACTCTTTAGACGCCTGTTGGAGGCTGCATTTCTCTCCCGTTTCAGTTTTTCTCTTTTTGCTTGTGGTAAGCATAGTGTTTACATATTGTATGCTTATGTATTTTATAATCTTTAATGCTTTCTGTCTGGGAAGAAGTGCTTGTGACACATGACATACTCACATGCAGCCTTATACCGTTATCTGATCATCTTGGTTTTTTTTGTTTTGTTTTGTTTGTTTGTTTTTTTGAGACAGGGTTTCTCTGTGTACCTTTGGAACCTGTCCTGGAACTCTCTCTGTAGACCAGGCTGGCCTCAAACTCAGAAATCCATCTGCCTCTGCCTCCTGAGTGCTGGGATTAAAGGTGCATGGCGCCGCCACCACCCACCCATCTTGGCTTTTAATGGATACTTTTGATGATATTTGCAATTGCATTGATTTTAGGTACAAATAATCAAACCTAAGTTGTAGACGATAATAGACATACATAACTGAAGCAACATGAATAAACATTTTGAAAACATTATCCTTATGTTTTCTTGCCGCACTACATTAAAAAAAAATAAACTACTCTCATATTAGTTTTTTTTGTGTGAATGTTAACTGTGTCTTTCATGTCACCACTTTTGAAATATGTTATCAACCTTCATTGTTTAGTTGTTAAAAACTTAGCTGCTACTGAAGTCTGAGATTAGCATAATGAACCTACTGGGTATTATATAGAAAAAATATATGCTAGATACAACTTTGAGGCATTAGAATTAATCTTCCACAATTCAAAATTTGTCTCAGAAATACATTATTTTATGTTCTAGTATAAATTTGTTTTAAGTGTACATTTAAAGGATAATCTAATTGTATCAGTTTAACACTTCACAAGGAATTAGGTGGAAAGAAAATAATGCCATGTGATTTTTATCATCTTCTTAACTAACACTGAAGTATTTAATTTTGAGCAGCATGCTCTCTGTTCCTGTAAAAATATAAAAAAAAAATAGTATACACTCTTAAGGGTTTTGTCTCTGATTCTGTTTCGCCATTGAAAATTGTTGAGGTCCCCAAAGTGTGTTTAGGGAATGTAGAATATATTTCTACTAGTATTTATTTCATTAGCAATTATATACAAATAACAACATATCTCAGCTTATTTAGGATAATAAGCTCAATTTTAGGTATAAATTTTATTTTCATGGGAAAAAAAAACTATTTTCAGAAGTGAATTATTTTTCAGATTTTTCGATTTGACCTGCTAGAGGAGAGTTGCTTTTTAAATCTGCTTCTGCATTTAGTGAATTGTAGTGTGAGATGCTCCTTGCAGTGTGAAGAAAATTCAAACAGGCCTGGATGACAAGGGGACACTAGGGAGGACCTGGAAGCCATAAAGGTATCCTTGGTTTCTCCCACCCACCCACCCACCCTTTCTTTCTTCAGACATTAGAAGTGAGTGACTATGGTAACAATGAGGAACCATGTAAACCCCCTGAAGCACAATTGGCTCATCCTAGCAACTGTGAAAAATTCATCACCCTGGGATCCACATTAGCCTACTAGTCACCAGGCACTGGAGTCCCAGCCTGCCTGGACTCTGATCCCTTAGCTTATGGCTCTACTGGCCTACTTTGTCACAGTAGGCAGTTTCATGGTCTTTGTCAGTTTCAGTTTATTCTTTCCTGTGTGCTAGCAGTGGCCCCCGTTTCTTGGACTAGTGAGATAATTCATATAAAGTAATTCGTATAAAAAGTTTTCAGGTCTGAAGTACAGTAAGCACTTTGCAAGCCAGCAATTATCTTGTCATCTCTGGGTTTCTGAGAGTGGATTTGCAGGTATGTCATTGCTGTGTCACAGGCTTTCAGTCTGCTGTGTGACACACAGGCTTCAGTGTGCTTGCCTTGACTGGCAGCTTTCAGATTAGAGCAGAGCGGAGGTGGTCTGGGAAGACATGGGTTCTAGAAGTACACTTGGGTACCTGGGTTGGGTAAGCAGGTTGAGTGGACAGGGTTTGCCTGTAGATGTTTCAGCTGTGGTTTTCTTTAAAAGACTTGGTTGGAGAAAAAGGCTTCCAAGGTTAAACAAAGTGTGAAATTCACTTGCCGTTATTGGCCACAATTTACCAGCTGTGAAAATGGAGACTTGATCTTTTTTTCTTTGGTGATTTTTCTCTTACATGTTTTTCCACTAAGGATAAAATGTCTGTGTCTAGCATTTAACTTTGTCCCTGACATTTGTTCTAGGCCATTATCTCTGTAAGACTTCATCAAAAACAAACTTCTTTATTTTCACAGAAATCACAGGAAAGTTATTTTAGAATAGGCTGTTCTCTCAGGGTCCATGAGCAGTAGGATGTGGTAGCTTTCTTAATTTTCCGGAAAGAAAACACACCTCACCTTCCTTCCCCTTCCCTCCCTTAACTTTCCTTCCCTTGAAAAAACTGGTATTGCTTGGGAATTGTGATTTAAGAATTTGTAATGAAAATTGTAATGTTTCCCCATAGTTTGTATCATGTTTCTTTTGCAACTGACTTTGTAACAGCATGTGTAGAAAGTGGTCAGAAAATACCGGTTCAATGGGTTGCTGTTAAGATATATTAGTTTATAAGGGAGAGGGAATGGTGTGAAGGAAGTTAGCATTTTAGCATCAGAGATTCCTGGGTTCAGATATTGGTGTAGTTCATTGTCAAGGTTTAGGCTAGATGCTTACTTCCTCTGAGCCTCCCGTAGAGCATGGTTGTGACTCCAGTTCATAGAGAAGTTGTAGAACTCCTTAGGCTATATTGTCAAAGGTAGACATCCTCCAAGAGACACACAGGGCTAGCTGGGGATAGAAGGGAGATTTCCACCAGAGAGGAATTCCGTTAACAGGAGAGACAGGTACTAAGTAGGCAGATATAAGGATGGTAGATGTGAGGTCTTCTGGGGGAAGGGTAGGTCCTTGTCCAGTTTTCTTTCCAGCAAAAGTTATAAAACAATCTATGGGACTCTCACCATCTCCATATTAGTTAGTGCTCTTTAGGGGGAGCAGAACT